CAGACATCAGTCACAGGTGACTGGCACAGGTTCACAGGGGCTAAGTTAGGCCAGATGAAGGTCAACACGTTTTCTTTTTAATTAAAGTTATTAGTTTGCTCAGTCAGGGAAAATGGTGTGTCTGATTTTCAGCTAGATATTTGGCCAAATCTCTCAGGATATTTTGGTAGACGGGATGGAGAATGTGGTGATTACGGTTGTGGGAAACTGTCTTCCCTAAAGAAGATCAATTAATGGATTGGTGTCAGTCTCAGACACCACTGACCAACATTTTTATCAACCACCCAGACACTTGCAAATCCCACAGCTGCTTCCACTGCCCTTCTCCTGGTACCTGTCTCTGCCAGACCCATCTATGTGTACCCCCCACCCACACTCCAAGCTTTACTTTCTTTCGTCTTTGGTCTTTGACTCATGTGATTTCCCAGGCTGGAACACTTTTTTTTAAAAAATATTTTTTAAAATTGTATTGGAGTATAGTTGATTTACAGTATATTGTTTGTTAGTTTCATTGACAGGAGGGTTCTTTACCACTAGCACCACATGAGCAGCCCCATAAAGTAAAACACGTGGCTGTAAAAAAAAAAAACTATGTGAGGATGCATGATTTTAACAGCACATGTGAAAAAAACATGGGAGTTAAATGACTATGAGTTGAATGTGACTGGGCCACCCAAAAAGATATGTATTTTCAGTCCTTATGCTTGTGTGGTTGCTAAGTCACTTCAGTCATGTCCGACACTTTGTGACCCTATGGGCTGGAGCCCACCAGGCTCCTCTGTCCATGGGATTCTCTGGGCAAGAACACTGGAGTGGGTTGCCATGCCCTCCTCCAGGGGATCTTCCCAACCCAGGGACCAAACTCACATCTCTTGTGTCGCCTACATTGACAGGCAGGTCCTTTACTACTAGTGCCACCTGGGAAGCCCACAGTCCTTGTAGTTAGGAGAAAAGTACCTAGAAGTAATGAGTTCTGAGTTGGTCAAACCACACTGAGTACTATGACTATTTCAGGTGTCATTTTTTAATACAAAAAAATGACCAAACAGACTTCACTTAGAAGAAAAGAATCAGAATGGATTGAAAGTCAAATTACACAAAAAAAAATGGCAAAGTACCTTGGGGTGTTCAGGCTAAACAAGAATAGTTTAGATAGAGAGCATGATTGTTGTCATGTGGAAGGCAAATTGGACTTGTTCTGAATCTCTCTTGAAAACAGGATCAGGGACTTTCTTGGTGGTCCAGTGGCTAAGACTCCGAGCTCCCAATGAGGGGGGAGTTCAAAGGTGCCAGAGTCCGATCCCTGGTTAGGGAACTAGGCCCCACATGCCACAACAAAGTTTGCAAGTCTCAACAAAAAGATCCCTTGTGCCACAACTAAGACCCAGCACAGCCAAATAAATAAATTAAAATAAGTAAGTTCAAGGAGGGGGCACATGTATATCTATGGCTGATTCGTGTTGATGTATGGGGGAAACCAACATAATATTGTAAAGCAATTATCCTTCAATTAAAAAATAACAAATATTGAAAAGAAAGAAAGTAGGACTAGTCTCGGCAACAGAAGCTTAAGGCGGGGAGGAGAGATTTCCAGCTCAATACAAAAGTAACTATAATGGGAAATAAGCTGTTAGAAAGTGGACAGGGAGAGGGGCTCAGGGTGGTTGCGGGCATATTTATCCCTAGAAATCTTCAAACAAATCTTCAACCAAATGGATACCCACTTGGCACCAGGGATTTTAAGAACTGAATGCAAGTTTAGATTTGATAACCTACACAAAGACCTTTCCAGATAATTCAGGGAAGAATCTATAGTCCTCATATTTCTGCATTTCAGTAACATCCTCAAATTTACATGTTTGAGGCAGCCACATGACTCAATCCCATAAACCCTGAGCTGTTTTACTTCTATGTGGTCATGTCTCACCTTATGCCTCATAGCATCATACACTAAAAGGTAGGAGAACCCAGTTTCTAGTCCCAGATTTGTCACCAGTTAGCTGTGGGTTTAATCATCTCATTTAAGCTCAATTTCTTCACTTGAAAAATAAGGAAGTTTGGGCTCATTAAACCATTTAGTTCTTTACACATTAAAATTCTAAAGCATTAATGATTCTCAGACTTTGTCCTCAGACCATTAGCATTAAAATCAACAAAGAAGGCTGTTTAACATGAAGGTACTTGGGCCCCATCGTATTAATGGAATCCGAAGGGAACCCAAGAGCATGAATTCTTAGTAAGGCACCATAAATTGTTAACATGCACGCTGAAGATCCAGAAACAACCCCAAAGAGGCTGTGTGCCCTTGCGATTGGAACAACAGAGAAGCAAAATTCAGGCACAGGAAGGTTCATTCAGTTGCCCAACATCTCAAAGTAAAACCAGAGTTGTTCCCAGAAGAAAATAAACGGATTATTTCCTATTGTCTTAAAGGACCTGAAGACTTAAAGTGAGGAGGTAGGCGGAGAACTAGAATAGTCTCCAAGGTGTGTCTAATAGGGCTGGAAAAGCCCCAAACCCTGTCTGGTGAGGAAGGAGTCAGAGCTTTGTAACAAGAAGCAGCCTTACATCCTGCAAGCCTCCGAAGTAGGTGTGGCCTCCAGACTGCTGGAAAAAGCGGAATGCGCAGGGTTGGTCCTACAGCGTTGGACTGATACAAGTCAGGGTTTGAAAAGCTGGGAAAACGGAAAAGCAAGTAGTGCTCTTAACTGAAAATGTTCCTTGGCCAGGCCCAGATCAACAAGCTTCATTCCTATCATAGGAATGTTCATTATTCAGAAGTAGACCTACAAAATATTTTTATTTTCCTCCCCAGTTCCAAGGCCCCAGAGAGCTGTTTTCCAAAATCGCTACAATAGGGACTTTCCCTGGTGCACCAGTGGCTAAGACTCTGAACTCCCAGCGCAAGGCTCCTGGGTTCAAGCCCTGGTCAGGTAACTAGATACCCCACACTGCAACTAAAGATCCCACGTGCCACATCTAAGACCCAGTACAGCCAAATAAATATAGGCTTTTTTAAAACATTAAAAAAACAAACAAACAAAACCAAAACAAAATTCCCATGACACATTCTTGATTTGAAGACCTACTGAAATTAGTAGAGTTCTTTATTTGAATTGGGAAAGAGGAGCTGGTTTTTGAAAGCCCATTTGGCTGCAGACCCCATATAGATTAGGGCTGTTATCACTAACAAGTCCACTTTCTTAAATATATTTTCACTGAGGTTTTCTTATATACATATTTTCACTGAGAATCATCAGTATAACTTTTTCTCAATCTCTCTTTAAAATGCACATGACATCACTGATTTTGAAAATTCCGTTTCTGTCCTATAGCTTATTATCCAGGCAAGCACCCTAAAATAACAAATAGTTTCACTAAGTCAGTGGCTTGCATAAGGCTCTCTGTCTGATATTTAAGCTGAAAAAGCCCAGATACTGGCACATTCATTATTTATACATTTAGCAATCACCTCAAAGCCTTCCCCCACCTGCTCCCCAAAAGCAAATTTATGAATGCTTATCATAAATGTAACTATTGTCTAGTACAGGGTTTCCAACTGTTCAGATGAGGCATCCTGAAACAGTCAAGACCCCAGACAAGCTCACGAACATGTCACATACAGGGGTCTTGTGCAAACCCAAAAAACTTCTGGTGCTCTTCTCCCCATAAAATTACAGAAAGGCTTTACTTATAAAGCCTGGGGACTAGGCAGTCACTAAGTCATTATCACATTGAAATCTCTGGCAACAGTTCCTCAAATGACACCATCTACCTCTTAGCTCTAAAAGTTGCTTAAGTGTCTCTATCAAATTACCTATAAAGCAAATAAACTCTAGGAAGATATCTAACACAAATACTCCCAAGGCTGAGAAAAATTAAAAGAAAAGCTTGCTTATAAAGAAAGCTAATTTCATATTCCTATCAGAGACCATCAAGTAATACTGCTGGAAAAAATAAAAAGTACCTTACCCAGAAACAGTTGAATTAAGCAGATGGATTTTGACAGGACCTGAATAATTAAATTTTCTACTGCAGCTTTAGAAACTCCTGTTCTGAAGCCCATTTTGTCAGCCAATGCTAAAGAACGTTTTTTTTTTTTTGGGCTCAGGAACATACAATCCAAATAGCCCCATAGGAGAAGATGCCTCTCGGTCTCCGTCTGCACACCTTCAGACACTGCCCTTCAAAGAACAACTCTTTTCCCTTGGAAAAGAATCTGCCATCAACATTGTCATGTTAATTGGCCAAATTCAAACACAAGTCATCTCTAGAAACTGCGATTGGACAACCTTTGAGTAGACTATTTCAAAACATTTTCCTAAAGGATAAGAGACAGCAAATAAAAAGTCAACCTTGGCATATTAGACGCTTAACAATTAAGAACCCAAAACCAAAATATTTTTTGTTGGCTACTGCTGGCCAAGATTTCTTCTCTCTGCTCTTCATTGGGCAGCAAGAAAAGTCACCCAGACTTCAAAATTCTATGTGATAATAAATGTTTGGAGGTGGTATGGATAAGTTTCCAACCACATATAATCCAAAACTTTGTATCAACCAGCAGTTTTGCTTTTCTTCTGAGCAAATTTCGTTCCAGATCTGTCCACAAGGAGCAGAAATCTATATTTAAAGGTGAGCCACTGAAGGTCCCATGGAGCCTGGCTCCTATACAAGGCAACCAGTGGAGGCGATAGAGGGACAAACACAGAGGACAAAGCCCTCTTTGATGGGATAAGGTCAGGCCACTCAAGGTGCCAGTTCTCTTGCTCTCTGTACATCCGCTGCTTGACCAGCGCCTGCTTCACCCACATAACTGACATACTTTCCCCCAGCTCCAACTATTGATTGTTCTAATCTGTAAAGCAGAACATCTCCACCTGTAACTATCAAAGGGGTGATGAGGGGCATACCCCCTCTGCTAGTTTCCCTGGTAACCATTGAGTCAATCTGAGGTTGGTTCCCCGTATAACTTGTATCCGCCCCCTCCCGCTGGGAGCAAAGATGGCTGCCATGCCCCACCCGTCATGACAGGCCCGCAGGCTACGGCACACTGTGGGATGTGCCTTTAGGACCTTGCTTCAGACAGGTAAACTACCCCTACCCATTAAGCCACTGATGTCTCTGTCGCTAACTTCGAGCTCTTTAGTCCAGAGGCTGAGCAAGTCCAGAGCTTGCAGACCTGCAGGGAGCAGCCAGGAGGCTGAGGAAACTCCCACGAGAGACGAGAAGTTGGGGAGTAAGGACCGGAGTGGGAAGCTGTGGGGCGTCCACTAGTATGTGGGACTCAAAAGTTTCAGGGGATAATCCCAGAAGTCACAAGAAGAAATCCCAGGGTGGCTGCCATTGATCTGTGGGGCCCCATGATGGCTGTCCTTGAAGAGTGGGGGCTGGCGAGAGAGCACCAAGAACTCATAGGTGGCCCTGAGGCTGTGGTGGAGATTCTGGCCACCATTCCAGTGGGAAAAAGAGGTTAGACCATAAGGCAGTGGCCACAGCTCTGGGCTGGCCCCTGCTTTTATATTAAGAAGGGCCACATACACCAAGCTAACAGTGGAGATGGAGGTAGGTGCCCGGGCATGGGGAAGACGTTGTTAACTGGCCAAGAATTATCAAAGACGGCGCCTGTGACCAGCCACCCAGCCCTCCAGCAGCGCTTATATGGGGCCATCTACTAGGGCAGGCTTCTTTCCCTGCTCTCTTGGTTAGTAGCCACCTGCCTGCCAAGGAAGGGGATGTGATCAGTCCTCATTAGCAAACCATGGAAGATGTATAAGAGAGCAACGCCTGCTAATGCTTCTGATACTGTATCAAAGTGAGCCTTTTGGAGATGGTTGGGATTTTATCTTGGGTGTGCGTCTGAGTGTCTCAGTACCTGAGACCAAATCCTGTGTTCTCTTCCTGGTTTTAACCCATTTTAGGGTGTCCTAGTAACTTGAATGGTGATTCATGTTCCTCAGAAAGTGAGGCATATGAATGTAAGTGAATAATACATATTATTGTCTATTACTGTTATTCATTTAAACAGAATTGGCTGTTTATAAACTGAAGAAATGCCTGAAAGTGTCCAGGATGGAACTCGATGTTTTAAAACTGGTTTTTGCACATGCGGTTAGAGGAGGCTAGCTTTCTATTAAGAGAAGGAATTGGTATTTCTCTTCTTGTGCCTTTGAGATATAAATGATCTACCTGGGCTTTCTGGAACTTTAATCACCTGTGGTCCCTGAGAGTGAAGGGAAAAAAAGCCTTTTTAAAGTTTAGTAGGAAAACTGAGATCTGTGTCTATGTATGTACATATGTTCATGTGTACTTTATAAATGTGAGGTGTCTCTCCTTCCAAATGACTTTGCCAAAATTGGTTTGTGGATGAGTTCTGTTTAATTGGCTTAAAAAATTAATCACTCAAATAAATTCTCAGAAATATAAAAGAAACTCCACAATGAAATTCAGGTTCATGTGATCTGGGAAATATTAGAATTAAATCCATATCTGGTATTGAAACTAGCTTAAGCTTGTTAGTTTGATTAATATAGACATGTCTTTGGTGATCAGTGTTAAACATATCTATTGTACCTAGGCTTATTTGAGACCAAATATGACCTTATTATATCTGTTGCAAATTTGTCAGTAATGAAAATAACTTGATAAGATGAAACTTTAAGTAAATGTAAATAAGAGCCTTTAAGAAAACTCTATAGGAATAATTATGTTTTGGGGATGTCTAGCCAAAGTGGTTCTTCGAGATTTTGGTAACCATGACCTGCCCACTGTCTGTCTCACACAGTAGGATGTTGCTCCAGTGCCTTGTTTCAGATATGTAAGATCCCCCTCACTATTAAACCACTGATGTCTCTGTTGCTGTCTGGGTTCTTTGGTCTCAGAGTTGGGCAAGTACAGGGCTTGCAGGCCTGCGGGGTACAGCCCAACAGATGAATAAAAGGTGCCATTCCCCCCAAAACTACTCTCCCTGCCTACAAAAACAAAGCAAAGTGAACAACATTCTTGAGATGAGATTTAGATTTCTGGGCCTGAAGGTAAGACATGTGCTACCGAAACCAGCATATTTCTGAGTCATTCCTTTCCTGGCTCTGGAAATGACCCTGGCAGAACCTGAAGAAGGATGAATTAGTTTCTGGGGCACCATAGTTGGGAACCTCTGTAGCTTAAACCCTATCTCATCATCCACTTGACAGTAAGTTATTTTTGACAGACTTTTTCTGCCTGGTTCAGATCTACTGCGGACATAGCTTTTTAAATCGTTAAAAGAAATAAATGACAGTTGGAAAGAAAAACTTGAAAGATCGCCTCCATTTGGAAAGAGTAGATTTTAAATACCTGAAAACATGTCAACTTTGGCTACAATACAGTTTGTGTAAAACTCCTCCCATTATTTGAAACCCCCAAGCATTTGTTCGGAGGAGTCACTCAGAGAGACTCTTACTCAACTAGCTGTGGGGACCTGGTCTTGGCAAGTGCTCAACATGTCTCTTTTGTTTAGAAATCATACTGTGCTAGGCCACTAGTGTTGTGAAATAGTCTTGTGTCTTAGGAACAGTACTGAAAACTCAATCTGTGTGTGCCTGAAAACTGGAAAAGCTCAGGAAATTGATTCTCTAGCCCACAAATGAGCTAAGAGTAAGAGTAAGATCTGATTAAGTGACCTCCAAGCCAGTGCTGTCTTATGTTGGAGAAGCTCCCTGTACCAGTTCCAGGAGGCCAGGCACTTTGAACATTCCTGGAGGACAGACACTTAGGCCTCTTAGGGATGGATGGACACATTGTGACATTGCCTCCCAGGTAGAATTGGGGGTCAAGAAAGAAGGAGCAGAAAAGGGTTTAGGATGACTATACAAGTTGCTTGATCCAAAAGTGTATACAGTGGAGGGGTATACACTTTATTTTGGGTTGAGTTCCATATAACTGATGAAAAAACAAAAATATGAATATAGAACTGTACCTTAGCATTGTTTTTTTGTTTTGCTTTTTTTTAGGAAAATACTTCTTTATTAGCATTTTGCCCAAAGCAGAGACAGTGATAACATCCTAACAAAAAAAGTAAAAGGTAATCTGATATGGATCAACTATCTTAAGAATACAAAATGCTTCACCAACAGTTTGATCATACATTCAAGCTTAACAACCAAGCCCTAACAGATACTGCCATCATCCTGATCATCCAAATCTAGGGACTATTTTGTGAAATTGTGTGGGATACTGAGAAAGAGATTTTCAGTCTAGAAAATTTAGCAATAAGATCCAGCAGACTAAACTGTCAGTATTGGTTTTAAGCAGAGCTGGAAGAAACCAGTAGTTCCCAAAGGCTGATCCAGTTTTCAAAACTACTGTCCCCTATCTTATCACCCAGTGCTCATACACACATACACAGGCACACACACATACATATACATTTTATACACGTGAAATTAGGTTGAACAATGATAGGTACCATCAGAGAACAGCGAATCTTACCTGCTTAAGTAACCAAAGAGAAAATTGAGGTTAGAGACTTCTGTGACTTACCTAAAATGGAGGCAAGACTACAGCCCAGCCACCCAGTCTCCTAACCTAGTACTCTTCCTGCTGCACAAGCTGAAATGTCAGACAAAGGCTTTAACCACAGTAATAATGGCCATTCTCCCACTCTCTCCACTTACAGCACCTGTGATCACAGCCAGGCGGTTCAATGGCCTGAACTCTTCCTCAGCATGACTCCTACCCCTCATCCCTGACACTTCACCCTTTCCACACCCTTCCCTCCAGTCTACAGTCTGTCAGCTGAGAAATCAAGGGTCTCTCAGCTCATTTCAGCAAAGCCACAAAAACACAAATGTGAGCAGGCCAGGAATGATGATCACAGAGTTGAGTGGGGCAGGAGCACAGTGTGTTTGTGGAAGGAGGTAATGGGACTGGTTGGAGAGGAAAGGTATTTTGAGGGTATATTGCAATGGGTCTTTTTTTTTTTAGTCTTTTGGCCATGCTGCACATGGTATATGGGATCTTAATTCCCTAGAAGGGATCCAACCCAAGTTCCACAGAGTCTTAACCACTGGACTGCCAGGGAAGTATCTGTGGTGGGTCTTGAATGTCCTTCTGAGAGGTAGAGAATAAAAAAGGCCAGGAACTTTTCTAACACATGGGTCCAGTCTACTTAAAAGAAGACATCTGATCCACCATGACAGTTGTTATTAGTTTCCTTCTCTGTTTAATATGTTCTATCTCACTAGAGTAGATGCCCCATGAAGGCAGGGACACTGCCTGTCACTCAGCACCATAGCCTAGGTGACTAACAGGGTGCCTGGCTTACACAGGTTCTGCAAGTATAACAGTTACTGACGGATGCGAACACAACAAATATAAAATGTAAGCTCCTCTTACATTTGGCAAATGCAAGCTCTCAGAGTCACTGGCCAACATTTATACTTTGGGAAGTAAGAATAGCTTACCTGGCATTCTCCCCTCCACCATCCCCACCCATATAGTTTTCCCTCATCAGTTACAAGAATAGTGGGTAGAGTTCTACACTCGTATTTCTGTTTCTGCATCAGTTACATGGAACCTAACCCAGAATACAGTATATTCTCCCCATTTTAAACCTTTCTGGATCAAGCAATTTCTATAACCTTCTGAAACCCCAAAGACAATATCAAGAAGGTAGAACAATGGCCTAGGAATATTTTCCTGGTGGTTCAGTCTGTGACTCACACCTGACCAAGAACAAATCATTTAACCTCAGCTTGGCTTGTTTTTACTGCATGCAAAATAGAGCCTATAACAATATAAGCCTCCTCCCTCCCTCCGAGGGCTATTCTGAGAATTGGGGAGATGCTATCTTGGAATGATTAGAGCTCCAAAGAACTGGGCTGTCAATACAGAAGTGGTGTTGTTCTTAGGTTGTGCTCCAGCTGCTGTTTTCCAGCATGAAAGGTAGAGTTGTGAGGCCTTGTTGGCAAGGAAAGCAAGTTGTTACTGTGTTGTCACAGTGATACAACAAGCAGGAGGGCAGGTTCCTCAAAGGTTTAATGGATCTGATTTCATTCATTGACTTCCTTCCTCTTTACCTCAAACCTCCATTTCCATTATTCTTCATGG